GGAGATGGAGGCAGAGACAGTGACGTGGAGAGATGGAGCGACTGGGGACCCTGGACTAGAGAGGGAAAGGAATTGTGTGCTGACAGTCAGGAGGGCAAGCTTGAAGGGTGTGCCCTTTGGTTGTTTAAATTGTTGTATATTTCCGAGTGCTTCAGTGTACATCCAAAAAAATCTGAGGGAATGGAAACAAATGTGTTGAATGATGATGCATGAAGGGGACTGCAATCAGTGCAATGAAAAGAAATATGATAAGATGAACGTAAAGCTGATGTTTTCCCATGTAAACTATCAACCAATTCACAAAAACTTTTAAAAAAAGAAAACTGATTTGCAAAAGTTTTTCCTTTTTTTGGTTTTTTTTTTTTAATTAAGCTGTCTTACATTTACTTTTAAATGCCCCAGAAAACAACAATGTTGGAGGAAGGGGAAAAGTTGAACTAAGAATATCGTAACTTTGAAAACTGTTGAAATGATTATCCTGATTTTTACATATGTCTGGAAATTTCCATAGTAGACGTTTGTAACTAACTGACTCTTACACTTACTGAGAGCCCAGAGCAATCCAGAGCTATCTTGGGGGAGGAGAACCATATCAGGCCCTCTTTAACCCCTCTGGTGTGGCACTGTGAGTTGGTGCACTAGACTGAAAAGTCATTTGAACGCAAGGCTGGCAGTTAAAGCTCACCAGCTGCTCCTTGGAAACCCTAAACAGGGTGACTATGCGTCAGAACCAACTCAACAGCACTTTAACAACAACAATGATCCCACAGTCAAACTTGGAGGTTCCATGGAACACTTAAAACATCACCACCAGAATCACATCCAGAACCTGCACAATGCATTAGATTTCTCCCTGACAAAAAGGCAGGAGAAAGACAGGCCCTAAAATAGCAACAAACACTGTTTCCGGATGGTGAGGTTACCAGCTGGTTTGTTTTGTTTTTGATAACTGTATTTTATAAAGAGAAAATAAAACTTTGCTTATTAATGTACATAGAACTTTACAGACTCCAGCACCAGAGTGCAACAAGATAATCAACAAGAGATGACAAATCCCCATGCTCAATAGAAAAGGTGGGTTTTTGTTTGTTTTGGTGGGAGGAGTAGAATGTGTTTTTTCCCCCTCTGAAGTATAGCATATATATAGAAATGTTGGGACTCTTCACAGGCTCACTATGAGTTGGAAATGACTTGATGGCACTTGACAACAAGTGCCTAGGGGTTAACACACAAAGTGGAAAATGAAAGCCGTAACCTGTGTGAGGTGGAAGTCTTCCGAGAGCAGCAAAAAAAGTGGTAAAACTGCAAGACCGGGAAAAACAAAGGCAGTCTCATGGAGTCTGGGCTCTCACAGGTTTCACTGTGCTATCACTAACACTGACACTGACATTCCTTTTGGCAAATTAATACTCTACATAGTTTGAACTCTTGATTATCTGACATAACAATCAACTGATTGCATATGGGTATCTGAACCAAATGAGATTTGATTCAGTGCAGCTTGTTCAGAGAGTCAGATAATTATAGTTTAACTGTTCTAGAAAATTGTACTTTAAAACGTAGAGAACTAATTCTACTTTAAACTGGTTCACATTTTTATTTTTCTAAAGCACATATGTATGTTGTTGCTAAGTGCAATCAAGTCAGTTCCAACTCACAGCGACACTGCATAGGATTTCCAGTGAGCACCTGGTGGGTTTGAACAGCCAACTTTGCAAGTCAGCATAGGTTTGGCTAATTTACACACACATATCCACTTGGACTGAGTTTGTGGATGTCTGGATTTTCGTTCACAGTTCTGCTTCACTCAGATCACTTCAGCTAAGAGATAGCTATGTCCTTAATACCACAACTAACTCTTTTAGAGCAGGGAACAAGTCTGCATTATTCACCTTTACATGCCCAACATCTGTATGAGCCCTGGTACATAGCAACTGCTCAGTAAACATTCATAGAATTAAATTTACACAAAGACCATTCAGGAGCTACACCAGCATTAAGATTCAGGAGGACTTGTTTTAACAAAAGGATTTTTTTTTCCCCTTTTTCTATAGCTATTTGGTAGGTTTTTCTTTTCAAATAAAAAAATTAAGACTAAACAAGCTAAACACTAAGCCGAAATTGTACATGTGTCCACAAATAAAAATAAGGTGGAAAAATCTAGAAATAGTGGCATTCTTTTACAGAAGACAGATAACCAGTTTTGGAATCAGGTAAAATCTTGGGCACAAATACAAACTCCATCACTTAAAAAAAAAAAAAAAGTTGTCTTCAAGCCCATGTTTTTCAGGGCAGAACTGGTTCCACTGGGTTTTCAAGCTGATTTTAGGAGGAACAGATTACCAGTCCTTTCTTCCAAGGTACTTCTGAGTAGTTTCAAACCATTAATTTTGGGTTAGCAGCCATGCATTTAACTGTTTGCACCCACCCAGGAATTCCACCACTAGCAGCTAGGTAAATATTAATGTGGGTCAAATCACACATATCACCTTTGAGACACAAAGGTGTCCACATCTGAAAAATAAAAATAACGCTTTCCTCAGGGTGGTCATAAGGAAATGTATGTGAAGCACCAAGTACAGTTTGTGGTGACAGGTTTTTGTTTTTGTTTTCAAGTACCTGATAACCTTTTCACAAATGGCAGAGACTAGAATGGCCTATTTCTTTGCTTTTCCACTCACTGAGTCCATGGCAACTTACGGTGACACTGTAAGACAGACCTGGACTGTTCCCTAGGGTTTCTTAGACTGTACCTCTTTAAGGAAGCAAAATCTTCACTTTTCCCCAGGGAGCACCTAGTGGGTTCAAACCACTGACCAAACTATTGGAGTTTCCTTAGGTAACAATGTTAAGAAAGAATTTTCTTTGTGACAGAACAAACATGTAACAAGAAAGAAAACAGCTATCCTTTGAAAGCCCCAAACCAAATTAAGTCACTTAACTTTTGCACTATATGAAGACTGGAGGTAGAGAGAAAGAATACTGGCATTAAAATAATATATAAACCAAGTGAGTGGAGAGGAAGGTAGTTTTCCATGTTCATTATTACATATTAACTTTCCAAAGACATGAAACAATGCTGAATAACGATGTGCCAGTACAATCAACTAAACACACATTTTATTTAATTATGTTGTATACCCTTAATTATGTACCAGGGAAAATAAAAACCTAGGTTTTAAAAAAAGAAATCCCCTACATATGTCTTAGAAACAAAACTGCTCCACTCACTGAAATAAGAGCCAATAAAGGCGAAAGCTCCAATTTTATCTCATATATGACTTTTACTGGGAAAGATGAGTCAAAGAAATGTTAAACACATCTAGCTTTCCATTTTCAACAAGGTAGGAACCAATACTTCCTCCCACTCATCCCCCACCTCCAAAGAGTTCATAATAGTCAATTACTAAAATAAATTGAATAATGTCTTCCATTGGTCAATTAATTTTAAGTGAATGAAATCAAGAGAATCAGCACTCCTAGACCATAATAAGAACTATAATTAAAATTCCTGCTTAAAATTTCAGATTGGGGGGTGGAGGGGTGGACCAGCCCATGAAACTTAGTAGCTCTAACATACAAATAAGCATTTTCAGAAAAACAAACACAAAGAAGTATACTATTACTATAATGCCAATGTCCATATGGCAACAAGGAGAGCACATGTAATAATGTCTGCCATTTCAAGAACATTTTGTTAGTCACATTGTATTCAGGAAGCGGCTTGTTCCAAGTTAAAGATTCATTATACTGAGTTTCCTTCAAACATCCATTATTGGACCCTAAGAGTTGTTAATCCATCTTTTCAAACAGAATCTATGACAACTCAGCCTTATACTGAATTCACTCTACAGGTATTTTATAGTGAGGTTCCAGTACTGTTTTCTAAATAAAGCAAATTTAATCAATAACCATGCCAATGCTACTCAGAATGCTTGCCAACAAATAAGTAAATAATTAAAATGCATGACCCCAAAATGAAGGAAAGTTTCCTCCTTCCTGGCTCTCCAGCTCCATTTAGAGATTGTAAACATGAATAGAAAGATAACCTTGAGAACAGTAAAGTCATCCATGCCATCAATAATAGCCTTCTACTCATCTCCTAACTATACACCATTTTCCTACAACAGAGCAGTCTCTACAGGATGCCAGGAATTTAATAATACTTTTTAAAGATAATATCAAACTGCCTAGAATACACTGAGTGAAGAAAACTGAGTATTGCTACTAAAACCATACTTAATTAAACACATGCTTTCTCTAAACAGAGTAGCCCAAATAAAAGTACAATGTTTTGTATTTTCTGCCTTGGCACTCCTAGAATCCATCCCAACAAGTTAGGGTTGTTCAGATGCACTCCTACTACCAGTTTTTCCTGAGCAACCCAGCCCCCCAGCCCCAGTCCCCAAAAGTTTTACTTTATCTGTGGAATTCTCTGCCGGCCTCGGCCTGGAAAAATTGGGAGAACCTGTAAATAGGTGTCAGATTTGACCTTTGGGAAGTGACCCAAACTGACTGTTACAGGTAGCATAAAGCTGTGATCTTTATAAACCTCAAGTTGAGACTTATACTATTTTTGAAGGGGAATGGGAGAAAGCAGGTCAAAAGGATGTTTCAAAATCAAAAAATTATCACTTTAATTCCCTCCTCAACAAATGGAAAATGTCAAGTTTGGGGGACACATGCACAACTAACTATTAAGCATGAGAATCATAAGCTCAAGGTCAGGAGTGGGTGTGGGGGTAGAAGGGATAAAAAGCAGGAGCAGATAAGGGGAGACAGGGCAGGGCCCAGTCAAAGATCCATTTTGCTGAGAGAGGCCCAAAGGCCCCTCTAGGTACTAACTCCTCCATGTGGGGCACCCAGGCTGGAGGAAAGCAGAGGGTTACACAGAACATTTAGCAGACTTAACATTGGATTAAACACACTACTGCAAGTTTCAACAAATGTTCATGGCATACGTAAAAAAACACATTTACAACAAGAAAGAAGAGAGGCACCTGGAGACATCTGACACTGGGCATGCTCTGCAGGCAACTCAGTGCGCACATGCTCTCTACCAGGTTGGCGCAGCCTAGCCACAAAGACCTTGGCACAGAACACTGCAGGATGACAAAAAGGAAGGAAGAGAAGAAGCAGTTAGAGGCCGCAACAAATCACCCCTTCACACAGGCAACTGGAAGGTTAGTTGGGGCAGGGAATATGCACCCTTGGCAGTCTGGAGTTCAGGGGTAGACCTAGTTATAATAGTTTACAGAAACCTTTGGAGAGGGGCCCACTTTCTGCCCTCTGGAAAGGAAGTTTCTGTGGCCAACACTAATTTCTCAGGATACAGTGGACAGAAACAAGAGGGAGAAAAGAGAATGTTTAAATGAAAACCCATTCAAGGGAACTGTGAAAGTTTGAGTGCAAAACAAGATTAGTGGTGAGACTGTGACTATCACATCATAAAAGCAATGATTTCTGGTCTCTTTCATTTAATCATAGACACCATTATTGTATATGAACCTACTATGTGCCAGGCACTTTACATATGTTTGCTACAGTGTAAGGAGCTCAGAAGGTAAGTGATTTTGCACAAGGACACATAGCAAATGAGGGTAGAGCCAGAATTCAAACCCCGATTAGTGTGCTACCAAAACTCACATTCTTTCCACAAGACTATGATGATGCCTCTGTTGTAAAAACCCCAATTACTCCAACTTTTATTATATGAGTACAGGTTTGTACTTCCCCAAAATAAAATTACAGGAAACCTGGAAACATAAGTTAAAATGAACAGGAAAGATGAATGATATAAGAGTGACAGATACAGGCAATGGAAGCGGATTAAAAACATATCTGGCTTTAAGTGTCATCCACACTTCTGCCTTCCCAAAGGAAAAAACTTTGAAATGGCATGCTTTCATTTAGGACTTTCTGTTAACAAAGCTCATCTGGCATGACTAAAAATTACAAGCTTATTTATTTCATTTACCCTTTCCCATTCCTCTTTTCAAAGTTTGCCAGTATTAAGGCAATTTTTCCAAAAGAAAAAAATGCTAATGAATATATATGTCATTGTTGTTAAGTACCACCGAGTCAATTCTGACCCATAATGACCCTGTATAAGGTTTCTGAGGAGCAGCTGGTGAGCTTGAAATGCCGACCTTGCTATTCAAACCAAATTTGCAGTCCAGAGCATAAACTCATAGTGCCACACCAGGACTGTGTGTGTGTGTATGTATATGTGTGTGTGTGTGTATATATATATATATATAGTACAAACAATATTTAAATGACCATTAATTATTTATGGTATTCAAAAAATACTTTTTCAGATCTAAGATCTTAAAGTCAATAATCTTGAAAAATTATTGAAAGTGAGTGTTTGAACTAAAAGAAAATACCAAAAAAAATTTTTTAAAAAACAAAAAACACTAAAATACTGAGGCTTAGACTTAAAAATTTCTTGTTCATTCTAATTATAATAAGTATAACCAAACATCCTCCTTTGCCAGAGACAGTCCTAGTTTGCATTTGTCCCAGCATAGCTTTCATTCTCAAAAGAGTTTTCTTTTGGTGGCTAAGTTCATTCCAACCGCAATGTTTAAAAAGACAAGCTTTGCTTAAAATCAGACAAACTTAAGTTACTATCCAACATCTGCCACTTACTATTGCATCTCACCTATAATGTAACTACAGTATTAATTACTTAGAAAAGGCATGTGAAGAATACATAACCAAAAGAACCAAACAAAAAAAATAAATTGAGCAGTTTTCTGATAACAAAGAGCATGTCATATATTTCCAGTCTGTCCTTTAACTCTGAAACTTATAGACAATACAAAAGTGTACCAAAACTACTCTGTGTTGGTTATGTGCCGTGGAGTCGGTTCCGACTCATATCGACCCTGTACAGAATTTCTGAGGCTGTAAATCTTTACGGGAGCAGAAAGCCTCATCTTTCTTCTGCGGAACAGCTGGTAGTTTCAAACTGCTGACCTTGCGGTTCACAACCTGATTCGTAACCACTATACTACCAGAGCGCCTTAAACTACTCTAGGCATACATATTTTGTTACCTCAATACATACAGAAAGAACCAAGCACAGAAAATGCTAAATAAATGTCTGTATAATATAATAAAAGTAACTGCCATTTATTGAGCTTCTGGTAAGTCGTGGCAACCCCATGAGTGTCAGAGGAGAGCCATGCTCTGGGTTTTCAATGGCTGCTGTCTTTGAGAAGCAGATTGACAGGACTTTCTTCCAAGGACCCACAGCAGATTCCAACCACCAAGTTTTCAGTCAGTTGAGGAGCATTTACCCTGAAACCCCTAATAACACTTGAAGATGGGTTTTATTCCCATTTTACAGATAGGATATCAAAAATCAGGCAATAAGAACTTGGTTTGTTAAAACAGCAACTTCTCCAAGTTGCAAGAAAACAAGGCTAATTGATAAGCAGACCTAGGGCCAGAAATTAGTCTTGTCTGACTCTAAATAAATTTACTTTCTTTCCACTATAGCAACTGTATTCAGAGATACTCCGGGTGTTGTTAATTGCCTGAGTCAGTTCCGACTCACAGCAACCCTGTATAGGGTTTCTAAGGAGCAGCTGGTGAGTTTGAACTACTGACCTTGTGGTTAGCATGCCAGTGTTGATCCTACAGAGCCATAACACGAGTCCAAAGATACTCGCATAAACTTATTAAAAGAATACTTATATCAGCAGGTATCAAGAGTGAATGCCCCCCCCCAAAAAAAAAAAAGCTAAAGAGGATAGAGAGAAACACTGTTAACTGATGATATATGGAGGGGATAATAATCAATGTAATGAAACAAGCTATATGAATGGTTGAATGTGAAACTGATGATGTGCCCTGTAAACTTTCACTCAATCCAAAATAAAAACATTTAATAAAAAAAAAAGAGTGAATGGACAGTGAAAAGCTCAGCCACATTGCATATTTTATTACATCTAATTTAAATAAACTCCCAACACCTTCATGGTTTATTTTAATATTTCCTTTTCTAAATCTTTGTAGTTATCCAAATCATAGGCTCATTCAGATCCCAGGAAAGAGTTTAAGGTTTACATCTATAACTAATACTAAATTAATATCAACGCTCACTTGCAAATCGGCTTTCATTTATTCAGGAAAAACCGGTTCCCTCTACAAGATATAATATATATATTTGCCTCTGAGAAGCCCTGGTATGATGTTGTAGGATAAGCACTGGACTGCTAACCACATGGTTGGTGGTTTAAGCTGACCAGTTGCTCCTCAGAAACCCTACACAGGGTCACTATGAGTCAGAAGCGACTCAACAGCCCTAACAAAAACAAAGGATAAAAGCCATACAGGCATCAAGTATTATACCCTGAGGAAATTCAGTTAATAACTTAGGATCTAAAACTTTCCTTTATAAAAGAATTTTTCACATTCAAGAAATTAAAGAATCAGTGTGAAAAACTGAAAATAACCTTAAAAACTATTCAGTTCGATCTCTACCTCTGAATTCAGAAGTAAAGCCCAAAGAAGAAAAATAATGATTTTTCCATTTTTTAACCATCTAATGAAATAATCAATGCTTTTTTTAAAATATGGAAAATAATTAACATAAATTTTTCTAATTAGTAATTTCACACTATTCATGCTACAAGCATTTAAATCTTGGTGTTGAACTTGTATAATAAGGAAAGGAGGCTTAAATTTATATTATGAGGGTTTGATTTCTAAGAATTTATCTTTACAATATCTATGAGGTAAATATTAAGGATCTGCTATGTACCAGCACTGTGCTAAACACAATGATATCACATTTTCACAATAATCCCATGTAATACATATTACTTTACCTTTCCCAGTTTCAGAAAACGAAATGCTGGCTCAAAGAGATAAAAGAATTCACTTAATTTACTTGTCCAAAGTTACAGCAGAAGTGCTGGCCTGGAACTAGAATTTCAGCCCTGGGCTGGGCAAAGAGCGTTTTTTTTGTGTGTGTGGCACTGTAGGATAAGCACTGGATTGCAAGGTCAGTTTGAACTTCAAGATCAGCAGTTCAAACTCACCAGCCGCTCCTTGGAAACCCTACACAGGGCTATTATGTTGGAAACAACTTGACAGCACTTTGCTACTACATACATAGCTTCAGACTAGCAAACAGGAAAAAGCACTGAATCCTGGACATGACTCCAGCAGGTGCATGACACAACTGCCAAAATCTACTAATCGGAAGTCTCAACTATCAGGTCTTTGCAGGGCCTTTCACTTTTAAGGCCAGTGCTGTTATCCATTTGGGAAGGATAAAGACCAAGCCCACAGACACCAAGTTGATTCTGACTCAAGGATTAGAACTGTCCTCTTTTTAACACAGAGTCCTGGTATGGTGCTGTAAGATAAGCACTGGACTACCTGAAAGGTCAGTGGTTCAAATGCACTAGCCACTCCTCAGAAACTCTATACAGGGTCACTTTGAGTCAGAACCAACTAGACAGCACATAACAACAGTGTTTCCTATCTTTAAGTATTGGAATTATTAAACTATGTCTGAATACCCACCCTGAAACCCATGGTTTCAAAAAAACTTACCAATTTTAACAAATTCTTATCAACCTATCTATTAAGCTATTAGAAATACACCCAAAGTCTCCTTCCTCTTGAGACTTCAGCCCTGAGCTCAAGAGAAACCCAGCAGGAGCACAATGGCGCTAGCTACTTAAGAGAAACCTTTTAGGGAAACAGAAAAACCCCAAGATATGCTTGTTACAATTTCACATGTACCAACCAGTATTCTCCTTTTGGATTACTCATAGTAAAGAGGAAGTTAGTTACATTGTTGTTGTTGTTAAGTGCTGTCAAGTTGATTCCGACCCATAGAGACCCTGTATAAGGTTTCCAAGGAGCAGCTAGTGAGCTTGAACCACCGACCTTGCAGTTCAAATAACTTTGCAGTCTGATGCATTAGCCCACAGCGCCATACCAGGCCTCTTATTCACATAGGGTGCTGATATTAACAGCAAATACACAGTTAGGTTGATGACATCTGTAGGTCCTATGGTCAAGAGTCCTGGTGTGGCGCTGTGGGCTAATGCATCAGACATCGAAGTTG